ATGAGGAATCACTGTATTATTACACACGTCCAGCCTCTCCAAGGCGTATGTAAACTAATTTGAACTAAAACTGGTATATTTGGCAAAGATTCTGAAAGTGTTGCTTGATTCAAGCTTTAAGTTTTAGTTCTCAAATTCTTCTTTTTTAACATCTTTTTTTTTCTTTAATAGATGAGGAACAGAGGTTCGTGGATGTTACTGACCCTGTCTAAAGTAAATAAGCTGTTTGGCGGTTGATTGCAGCCCAACCCAATTTTCACTCCTAAATCTCTCCAGCTTCTTTAAAAAACTTGGGGTTTTCTTTCTCCAGTTCTAGATCATTTCACTTATATGTATATATATCAGCAAAAGTATATTACTTCTTATTCAAAGTCCAAGCCTGACATTCCCTGAAGAATTCCGTAGTTATAGGTTGTAAAGTATCAGTGCTATGTAGACCATCTGTTATTTTATTTATTTATTTATTCATTTATTTATTCATTTATTCTGTGTATATGTAAAGCAGAATAATTCTACACATGCTAATAATAGTCTGGTACATGTACAGTATGTATTATATATAGGATTATTCAGGTCTATATACACATCATTTGTAAATATATATATACACACATATGTATAAATTCCACTATATATGTATATGTATATATCCACACACATACTATATGTATGCACATATATATGCATATATATATAATTTTACATATGCTGTACTTGTAACTCAAATTTATCAGTTTTGTCCTTTGACCCCAGTTTGGAGAACATCCTCAGCTGCCAGCTGTCTCATTACATGTACACCATGTCCTAAGATAAAGTAGGAGGTAGGAGTTCCTTGCATCTGCAACCTTGAGGTAAACTAGCATTCTGAAATGCTTTTCAGGGAAAGATACAAAAAAGGATGCTAAACCACAACCTTAGAATGACTCTTTTGCTGACTCTGCTATTAAAATTAATATACTCATCTTAAAAACATCTTTAAGTTTCAATAAGAATCTGTAAGTTAGGCTCACTGTGGAACATTCAGTTCCTTAAATATGTATAAATAGATGTAAGATCCATAGCTATTAAAAGGTTGTTCTTGTTCCTTAACTAACTGGACAACACAATAAATCATTCTCTTAATAAATTTACAACGCAGTGCCCAATATTTCAGTTATATTTAGCTTCCTGGTCTTTCCTATTTCATCTGCTAAATTACTATTGAATTTACCATAGCGGACCTCTTCCCATAGCTATTATCACTTCAGGTATTTTCTCCTCAAATATTTTAACAGTCTCTAAATTGGTTGCCCTTCCAAGGTCTTTCATTTTCCCTGCTCTTGTCAAATCTAATAACAGCACTCCATCAACTGTATGCCATCCATGGCTCCCTGTAACCTAAAGGATAAACTCCAAATTATGTAGCACACAAAACTTGTCACAATCTGGTCCTGATTTGCTTTTGTTCATCTAACGTCATTATCTCTCTCTTATATGACTTGCAGTTATGGCAAAACTGTGTAAATCCCATGATGTTTCCAGATTTCATTATTCTTTGCACATGCTGTTCCCTCCATACGAGGCATGCCTGTCACATTGTCTCTCTGTGGAAAGTATTACTTAACCGTTCATATCAGTCAAACACCTGCTCACCTCAGCAAGGGCTTCTCTCCACCTTTCTGCATTTTCACAACATTTTGCCTGTACTTCTTCTAACCTCGGTCTAACCTATGGCTTTACATACACATCAGTTTTTCCCAGTGACCTTTGCTTTCATGACAGGGACTTGCTCATCCTTCTAACTCCAAGCCTAGCATAATGCATGGTACAAAAAGGTCAGTAAATGTTTGTTGAATAAATGAGTCAGGAGAGCTAAAGCACACAGAAATATCTAAAGTGAACTGATAAAGATGAAATCAAATGAATTGATGCAATAATTCTGTAAGATCATTTAATATTTTTATATTGTTGATATATCAGTCTGTTATTATTGTAATAAAACCCATGAGAATCATTTATTTGTGCATATATACATATATATGTGTATATATAGATATATATCAAGATGTTCAAATGTCTTAAAAGTGCGTCTCTATGTTCCTCAACTAGAAAATTGACTATGTCTTTTATTGTGGGGGGTGAGGTCTTAACTTTGCAAGGTTTTATTTTGAGTTAATAGGAAGGCAAGTTGGGGTAGAGCTAGCAAAGAGACAGAAATTCACAAGGAAACTGCTTATGCCTTGGATCTAATCTAACCTTTTGTTTACAAAAACCAAATAAATGAACAAAATATCACCATCTCTTGATTAAGGCACAGAAGTTAGAAACTTCACAGATATTTGGGTTGCAGAAATGACTCTTCTCTTAGGGAACTGTATACAGTTTAATGAAGGACATGTTTAGGAAGAAAACGTTTTAAATCATGAAATTTTATTCAGAGTTAACTTTTCTGCATCGCTAACACAGCTTGTGAAAAGTCAATACTCTGAAAGTTTTCAGACACTCTTAATATTTTCCAATTACTTTGTCTTGACTGTTATGTCCTTTCCTGAAGACCTTGGCTTCTGATTTAACAAAGAAAATAAATAAGAACAGTTACTTCTGACCTGGATGAGAACAAATGGTTAGTGACCAAGCTAATAATATAGCTGTTACTGATACAAGAAGTCTCATATATACCAATACGTGCACATTATTCTCTACATCCGCACGGCACAAATAGAAAGAGAAAAATAATCCTCTTTGCAAAGTAAATAGCAAGTAAATGGCTCTTTCCCTCATTGGCTATGGAGCTGGCCTAATTCAGGGAAACAACAATTAGCACCGCATTAGTAACTGCCTGGTAATTACTATACAGCATTCAGGTATTGGCAGGTGTCTAATAAGGCACTTAATGAACTTTTCAGCAGTCTTTCTGAGAAACCCTCAGGAGAAAGAATTTCTGGTGGCAGTTACTCTTTTGCTTCCCTTTACTCCCCGCCTGAGCCTCAAGGCAATTTTGAAACTCAAACTTTAAAAAAATTAGTAACACACAACAATATTTCAGGAAAATAGTTTTTAAGAAATTTAGTACAATTTCTCCCTGCTAATATGTTCCTCTACCCAAAGTCACCACCAGTAGCATGATTCCAAAACACTTTGTTCACATGCATTTAACTTTGTAGTGTTGGTTTTTCAAATCACTAGGCAATCCTCTATGGTACAGTACTTAAAATAACATTATTTAAGACAATATCCAGAGGATAAATAGTATTTAATAATCCTAATATTATTTTTAACTATAATCTTTTGTTATTGAAATACCAAAGGTTCAGATTAAGGCAAGAATTTGGTACTGCAATATGTTTCTAAGTATTTTCCTAAAAAAATTATATGCACTTTATTAAAGAGGAAAGTTTCACAGAAATTAATACATTCCCAATAGCCTAGTATTTTGTATGGCTGTTTAAATGCAGGCATGCTCATAGTTTCATAGGGAGACACTAATTTCCACAATAAAACTTTCAATTATATAATCCAAGAATGATGCCGAATAATTCATTATTGATTCTTTGGGGGAGACATAACTTCTGAATGCTAAGTGTGAATTCTGTTTGTCAACATTACTTTTGTTGTAATTAAAATTCTAAAGTGATCTTTAAATAATCCTTCACTGAAATTGTATTCTGATGAGTTTTTTTATCACCATAATTGGAATGTCAACGCTTAAATAAATGATTCATCTGAATATACTCATTATATCTTAGGACTCTTACCCTTATAAAACCTTCTCTAAAAGCTTCCTGTCAGCATTTCTAGTTAGAAGGATGGGTCTGTTTAAGAGCCAGTTGAGAGGAATTTGGGTAAAATTGTAAAGTAATTTGACTTTAGTTCCTTTTATGCCACTTAGAAAAGAAATTCAGTGACCTCATCCTTCTTAGATCTTCAAACCAGCCTCTTTCCCAAGGTCTCAGTTGATGCTTAGTACTAACCATCCCTTCCTTCCTATTCCTCCTCTTATTTCCTTCTCCAGGGAGTCTGCCACAAATTTAATCCCAAAGAAGAAAGGTATCACATAATCTACACCATATAAACAGCTACACTTTATTTGGGACTTTTCTTGGAAATTGTAATTAAGAGATGCTTGGAAATCAAACTACCTGATAATAAAGATGATGTGAAAAGCACCAAAGCATAATACTCTTATTTCTTTTTTTAGTGGAAAATTTTAGCCCTTACAAAACTACCTGAATTCAGATTTTTTGGGGGGTCATTTGAATTACTGCAATTTTTTTTCCATGCTTATTGTTTTCCTTCAAATTTTCACTTCACTATTATACCTTTGTCCACTGTCATTTTTATTACTTCATCTTAAATTATCATTTTCTCTACTAAGCTCTTCCTTATTCATTATTCTACTGTTTTCTTCACCTATATGTAATTCTTTCATTTTGTTTGATTAAATAGTGTTTTTTTAGTCTATTAACTTATATAAGTGAAAAACTGAAGTATCTGTAAAATTTTGTATCCATTCATTTTACATTATTTCCTAAATGTTAGTCTTTTTTGAAAACTTTTTTTTCATGTTAATATTTGCTACTGCAGTTGATTAGAAAATAATAAATTCAGTCCTGTACATAGTTCAATGGATAAATTTTAAATGATATTATCTCAGCATATATAAAGAAATATACTCAGGTTTTAAAGAGAGAACACAAATCCTACTAGATTGTAGTAATAGTTTATGAGCAATAGCCTTCTATTACAATTAGGATATATGTAAATATTTATGTCATTCATTTACTAAAAAAATTGGAAAGTAATGCCGAAATATTAACATTATCAAAATTATCTACATATAAATTACAGTTTTGAATAAATATATCTATTTACAATTTAATAATGTGATAAAGGACTCTAGCACTGGAACCTTAAATTAAGAAATGTTTTGGATGGAAGAAATCATACAAAATAAATATATAGTTTTTAAATGAATTTTTTACACCAGTAACACACTGACTTATTTGCACCACTATACCAACCTTTGTACCTATGAGATCCATCCATGTTGCTAAATTCAATGTGATTTTCATCAGCCCAATAGAGTCTATGGTTGACGTAATCTATTGTTAGTGCCATAGGCCTGGAAATTTTGGTTTCTATGACAACACTCTGGTTGGTTCCATCCATGCCAACACGGCCAATGTGAGGATACTCACAACAGTCAATCCAATACAAATACCTGGGAAAGAAAAGCAAGAACCATTTGTTTACAAATGACCCAAGCGTGAAACATCAAAAACATGTCACTTTTTTTGCTCAACTCTTCCCCAGTTAACTCTTGTTATCACTCTGAATAATTTTGCAAGTGTCAAAAAATGATAGTTGCCCCAAACTGTTCGAGAAACATCTTAATTTTGGATGAATAAAATTGCGCCAGTGCCTATGCCTCTGTCTCTCTTGCTGTCCCTCATTTTCTTATCTATAGGAAATCTAAAACAAAAATAAAGGTGTCTGTGTCATTTGTTTGAATACTTCTATGTGTTTTACGACTTGTGTCTATTTGTCTCCCCATGTCTCACACAGTCGTAGGTGGGGCTTTCACAGAGGTGGCTGGATCTAGAGTATGTGACACTGGGATTGATTCATGGTGCAATTCTAGGCTCAGAGTTTCTAGGATTACAGATGCTCTAAGTAGTCCGGATAAAATAAAAAGGTGCAGTAAGATGCCCCTTACTTGCTTGCTTCTGCTGTCTTCTGCTTGCCGTGAACTAGGTCTACCCTGTGATACCCATCTCTCCAGCCACTCTAACTTGGAGCCAGCCTGTCACGGACTAAAACCTCTACACACTGTGAACTAAATAAACCATTCCCTCTGTAACTTTGGGTGTCAAGTATTTTGACTCAGCAACAAGAGAAAAGTAACTAAGTCAATGTGGTAACTAACAGCCAGTTATGATAGTTTCAGTTTAAAATTATTAAAACAAAATAAAATTATATGACCTGGATTGATCCTCACAGCAGCGACATTTAAAGTGTCCAATAACAACAAAGGTATTGTGGGTGATATATCCAACAGCACAGATAGATAGAATTTCTATCCTCAAAGAAAGTTCTAATGCAAAACTCTGCTTGAAATCATGCTATTAGAAGTTCCAGGGTAGGGCGTTTTAGAGGGGAGGGCAGAAAAATGAAGAAAGTAATATTGCTGCCATCAATACAAGAACTACTCAGTTTTAGTTTAAAATTCCATAAGATACAAATAATAAGCAATGCATGCCTTAGAAATTTCTGTCTTTAACTATTTTTTATCAAAGTATAAAGTACACAGAAGTTACTCTGTTATGTATAATATGCTTCCTTATCTACATAACAGAAGACTTGAGTTACAGAATCTTTTATGATCTTTTCCTATGTAAATTTAAAATTAAATTGTATTAACCTACGTAAGGTTTTCTATTTCTTTTGCTAAGTATAATCTCTGGTAATTAATTCTTCAGATTTGGCAAATGTGTAATTCAAATAATATGGCATGAAATTATTATATAATGGTTACAAACTGGAATATTTGTTTTAAAATTAAAAAGTCCTTTAAAATATATTTTTATTATCAATTTTAAAGTAACTATATTTAATATTATACTTATACACTGGAAAATTAATAAATGTTTTCAGGAAAATGGTTCCTGAAATACAGAGTTAGCAGTAACAGTCATAAATAAGACAATCATGTTTTGTGTTGACAATCATTTTTTGTGTAAATTATCTTTTTTTTAATAAAAGCATGTGTTATATGGATAACAAAAATATTTTTGATTATAAGTAGCTTTGGAAGCTTAATTAAGTATGGTATTTGAAAGAAGAAATGCATTTCTTCTAGAGACTCCACAAAAGGTGGGAATGTGTGAGCAGAGGAAAAAAGACTGATCTGAAAATCAAAACTTACTTGAGTCTAAATATCAAGCTTACCTTTCCTAGGGCAACACTGTAATTGTTATTCAATAGTTTCAATACGTCTATATTAATTCTGAACACATTTTGAAGATTTCAGATCAGCAAGGAATAATAGATATTAAGTCCCTCAGAACAAGATTTGTGTCTTTGAATGTTAAATTATTTTTAGTATGTTATTCTTTTGAAAAGCAAATGTATGTCAGTGAAATATACCTTCTACAGAAACACACAATCCAGTCCTTTGTAATAAAGTTACTGAATAGCACCTTGTTCTCTATAAATAAGTAATGGGAGAATAGATACAAAATAAGAAATTGTATCTGACAGAAGTCATAATGCAATGAGATTTATTTTTTTGAAGCAAATCAGAATGTGGCTTTTTGTCTAACTGTCCATGACTTTTGAGAATGTTGATATCATACATTTTTTCATACTGAAGAGAATATTCTTATTTCAGATGCTGTCATATACCTTATTTGATTAAATTCATTTTTGCTTTTATGTATTACTTTAATAAATGTGTACAAATGAATAAAAAAGGTGAAAGTAATATTCCAGTGTTCTTGATAACAAAATTAAAATGGTTTGATTAGAGATATCTTCATATGTGTACTTAAATGAACACTTTAGATATACTTGTTCTTGCAAATAAAATATCTTAACAGTGAAATTCTGTCACTAAAATATTTGAAATCATTGGCTATTAGTGATGTTTTCAAAGTCATTAATAAATTGCAAATTTTAAATGGTGTAACGTCCATATAAATGCAATTCCAAATCATCAAATTACTATAAACTTTGCCATCCAATTAGTATTACATTCATGCACCAAGATATTAAAAAGAGAAAAGGCATCATTCATAAAGTCCAATATCTGCTATATCACTCAGAATAAATCTGATAAAATCACAGGTATGAAATCCTATCCCTGATATCCAAGGCCTTGATTATTTATTGAGCCAAAATATACTTCTCAAAATTACTCCTTACTTATAAAATGTATGAAATACAGCTCTAGTGGGAGATTTTATTTATAATCTCACATTTTCACTTCTGTAATTTGATCTTATCATTTGCCTGGTTCATGCTTCTTCAATTATAAAAATATTTCCATAAAGACTTCCCTCGCTTTGCCCCCTCTGCTCTCGACAAATTATTCCTTGATTAATGTTCACATTTTCAAGGTAAATGAGAAGACCAAAAATATATAAGAACACCTTTGTAAAATACAGGTCTTTTTTTGTTTGTTTGTTTGTTTGTCTTGGTTTTTTATTGCAGGCCTCCTTGCAACCTTTAAAATGCCAAATGATACTGTGATGCTCTGAAGGAGTTATAATATCTCTAATCAAATATTTTTTGGTAATAGCAAAAGGACGCTTCAGTCATTTCTGTTCTACAGAATTTCTCTTCTTATTATTTTTGTAGTTGAATAACACAATATGACATAGAGTCTCATGCTATGTAATCACAGAACTATACTCAACCATTCAGAGATAGAATGTCCCTAATAAATCCCAAGGGCATATTTAGGGGACAGAGAACCTTATTTTGAAACAATGATTCACTGAGATTATATTGTGTAGCCGATATCTCTAAGTACTGGGGACACAGAAGTAAATACATGTGCTTGGAAAGATATCCAAGTAAATTCAGTAGAATTTGGTAGGAAAAATATTAAAAATTAAAGCATATTAAGATAAAATTATTTCACAATTTTTCAGGCCTTCAGTGATACTGAGAATATAAGAGATTACAATAATGACACTATTGGAATAAGTTTGTGTCTACTAAATTTGCAGACTAGCTTTCCATCTAATAAGCAGTTGTAGATCTCAGACAAACCCAAGGAATGGGTGGATCACCTAGGTTCAAATCCTATGTCCTCCCATTACTAGCATTGCAAACCTGGAAATTAGCCTGCTTGAGCCAAGAACCTACTCTAATTTTGAAAAGAGCCAATAATCTTTTCTTCTCATAGAGTCATTTTAGTATTAAATGAGAAAATGCATAGAACAAATCTGGAATATTGGTGAGCACACAGAAAATCTCCAATAAATATTAGATATTACTTATGATTTTAACTATACAAGATATGGAATATGTACATTATTATACTTTTTGGCTTAATAATATCCACCTAGCATGTTACTTCTGGCCTCTAGGTTATATTATTATGTGATCTGCCTGGATTTTATGCATGTTATTGCATAATTTGCCTATTTATGAATTAGAAGAAACTTATGTAAATACTACATTTCATTGAAAAACATCCTTTAGCTGAATAAAGTATTAGTATCTGTAACATAGGATTTATGAAGTAGCTAACTTTCCATGACTAAATGTCATTTCCTTTCCATACTTAAATCTCATTTACAGGCTTAACAAAAGATAAGCATGTACAGAAATGTCTACTTGTAGTCATAGCAGCATACTTCATTTTCAACATGTCTTTTACATTTAAACATAATGCAATATATTTCTTTAAAATGAATTATATAGTGCAGGGTGTGGGGGCACACTCCTGTAATCCCATCACTCCAGAGGCTGCAGCAGGAAGATCGTTGCCAGTTCGAGACCAGCCTGGGCTACAAAGTGAGCTCAAGGCCAGCCTGAACTGCATAGCAAGACTCTGTCTCAAAAGACCAAAAAAAAAAAAAAAAATTATATAGAAATGTGATTGATTTTGTTTTTTTTTCTGAAATTAGTCAATATTTAGAGATGTTTCTTTCATCTGAAGATATTTGTGATTCTCAGTTATACAGTTAATCATTTATATTCAATCCCTGAGAATTTTTCATATATATGAGAATACAGAAGTCAGATAACTGTACGGATTTGAAAATTGGTGGAAAAATTTCTTCTTATGTGGTTTCAAAATTTAAAGAAACATTTCTGTGCTTCCCCACCGAAATCAGAAATCTCAGTTTCATTTCAGTAGCTTTTCACTCTGTCACAGTAAAAGTTCCCTCATGACACTTCTCTTTGAAACATTCAGATCGTTTACATATGAATGCACTGGTTTAAGCATAGGTGAAGATAATGTCCCTGTAGCTCTAACACCCTGCTCTGTCTACAACCAGTTGCACATTTACTATTTCCTTCAATGATGAATTGTACAGTCTCTATGTTAAGCACAAACACTTACAAAGACATGGTCATGGTGCTAAAACAACTCACCTAGATGGAAGGATAAAACTTTTACATCAAAAATATTCATGTAATGCTAAAATGTTGACCGTGGGGTGGCCACTGGGACCGAGGTAGTGAATGTTTCACAGAGGAGGTAATAGTTTTGCTCATCTCTATTTCTCTTAGAGAAATAGAAGGATATTCTAAGCTTAAAGACCAGCGTAAACTAAACTATAGAAGCATAGAATGCCTCTCCAAATTTATTTGTATATCATTACCTACATTTGCAATAATTGCAAAAGATATTAAGTACATAAAGTGTCCACATATTTTCTCTAACATATATTCCAAATAAAATAGCTTCTACTATTATTTTTTGTGGGTTTGCTAAAGTAATATCAAGAATAGAAAACAAATTTCTACAAATTAAGGTATGAGGTTAATGGTGGAGTTCGGTGACCTATGAGGAGGTCTTAGGTTTGATCCCCAGCAGTGAAAAACAGAAAAAAAAAATGTAAAATAATGCATATTTTTAAAGATTTTGAAAACTGCCTTTATTTCCAAAAACTCAAGTCATGTGTGCTAATTTTGATAGATTTAAAAGGTTGCTTGTTAAAATGGAACAAGTACAAGATTTTGTGCTCTATTTTCTTTATTCTTCTTCAAGTAGCTCTTAAAAACTATGCTCCTTGTACAAGACCATCTTTTTTTATTTTATTTTATTTATTTTATTTTATTTTATTTTTTCTGGTACTGGGAATCGAACTGACGACATCACACTTGCCAGGCAGGCACTGTGCCGCTGAGCTAAATCCCCAGCCCCTAAGATCATCTTGTTACTGGAAACAGGGACATGCTGTAGTAAGAAAAACATAGGACCAAAGCCTGAAAACTGAGTTAAATCCCCAATTTTATACTTCTTACTACATAAATGACTGAGAAAGCCAGTTGGCCAGTTTGACATTAAATGCTAAGAAAAGGAACAACAATAATTGTATCTTCACTGGAGATTTTGTGTGCAGAACATGTGTCTAAAGTAAGAAAACTGTGAGATAGTTTTCCATTTTATATAATGCTAGAGAAATTAGCATTAGAAAAGAAAGGTAGTTACCTTTCTTTTCCTTGTTTGCATATGGAAACTCTCAATCCCTGCAGGTCTTCAAACTGATGATTTGCCTCTCTTGTATATACTTCTTTCCCTGTCTTCTCTGTAGCCAAAGCCCCACAAGGAAGGGTTGTTTGTTTGTTTCGACTGTGTTGTACGGTGTTTGGATTTACTCTTGGTTCTCTCTTACTGTACAGCATGAACTAGCTCCACGGTTCCATACGACTGATTTGTTCCAGTCTGTATGTGTTCCTTGCAATCGGTTGTATGTGCTGTGCTTTTCTGTGCGTCTGTGTATTCTTAGAAGGCCTGTGTTTTCAGCCAGAAATAACTGCCCTAAAGCACATCAGAGCACCAGGCTATTTCTTTCCTATCATTATTGTCCAGGAAGCTATCTCTGACTCTACTTGAGATAGATACGTTTTCTACTTTTTCCTACCTTAGGAGCAATTGCATTGTAGTGGAATTATTTTTACCCGTTTAGTTACTGATGATAAAATGACACTGTTCCTTATTTTTATATTTATTTCTAACTAGAGCAGTGTCAGAGATATACTAACTACAATCTAAAATGTGTTGACTACATGAATAATTAGATTTTTTTTCTTTTAAGTAGGTCCATGATTTACTTTTTAGTGACTATTAAATATTAAGAAATTTAACACTATCCAAAATATGCTTTGTATTAGACTTTTGTTATGATAAACTGAAATGAAATATTAATTGTCAAAAAAATGGAAAAATCAATCCTTTGAAATGCTTACATAATATCCTTCATGAAGGATAATGTTACAAATATTGAATGTAAATTATTTCAATCACCTAAAAAGTATTATCAGTTAGAACACTGATTCAAAAATTAGACTATATAATTGGATGATTAGGGTAAAACTGTGAAAAAAATTAGAATTTTAACTGAATTTAAATGTAACAGGAAGATGACTTATTTGCATTTTTACTGCTGTTACTATTCTATCTACATTGATATTGTGATAGTTGGCATACTATTAATAAAATATACAACGGCCACCTACATACCTCCTAAAAGTTTTGTTGTTTCATTACATTAGTCTGACAAGTGTTCATTAAGTACATCCTTGCCTGATCACTTATCAAGTGTCAGGACAGAAATCAAAGCAGTATTGGCATATCAGAATTATTTGCAAATCACACTGGTAATCTGATATGGAAGGAAGGGTTTAATTGCATTTTTATTAAATGATCTTACAATTTAAATCGTCATTTCTGAAGCAGGACTGCACAATATTTCCTGTGCCGAAGGCATTTTCAACATGAACCTCATCTTACAAAAGTTAAAATACAAATCGCTCGTTATTTCACTCTGGAGAAGCAGGAAACAGCAACAACTAAAAGGTGCATTAAATAGTAGCTACTAAAGTAGATGGCTTTAATTGTTTCATGCAAAGATCTAAACTTATTTGTTTATTTGGTCGTTATGTCTCAGATACACATTATAATCCAAATATTACCCAAAAATGAAGTCAAGGGAGTCTTTTATCACATCTGCAATAATACAGTACTTTGTTGTTTTAATTGACAGATTTAATGTATGGGTTTATGCTGATGATAACTTAAGACTGCTTTCATTTTATGGTGCAATAACTGTAACCTGAGAGACATAAAATCTAAAGCTAGATTCAGCTGCTTTATTAGGCTAGGATATAGTTTTTGCTTCATAAACAGGAAATTCTACATGACTGCTATTATTAAACAGGTAATGTTCTTTTCATGAAAAAGTGAAGCATTTTTAGTATTATAAAATGGGAAGCTAACTCAATTATATTGATTTTGAAAAAAGCCCCACAGGTTTGGATGCGCAAAAATAGTTTCTGAGTCAATAGTGAAATAATTACAATATTCACATCTTTATGAATGAAAACAGATGATAATCATTATTTCCTGAAACATCCACATAAACAGACTTTTATGAATCTCTTGTAGGTAAAACACAGTGACACTCTTTTGAACTTCCTGTTGCTATGGTAAAGAAAATATTTTAAAAGATAACAAAGTTATTATATAATTGTAGAATGAAAAGCTAAACCGTGCCCATTACCTTAGAAACAGAAATGCATACAAGGTACAAGTCTTCGCCTATTTAGTTTCGCTTTTACCCAAGTGAATGTTTGAAATGAAGCTGTAGAATGTATTCTAGCATGATCAATTTAGATATTATAAGGATCAAAAAAACAGAGATTTACTAATTAGCAAGAAGCAAAATTTATCTGTTATCTTTGGCCTGGTGAGTATTTATTTGGAAAAACATATTTTGTAAATTTAATCTTGAAAGCAGAACAATAACAGTGCTATACTCATCCTAGTATTTCTTATTGGTGATACATGGTATTTTAAAACATAAACTTTCTCTAAATTTGCCATTTTAACAAACATATTTGGTAGTTTAAACATCTACAGAGATCATTTTTGATCATGTAATAAATTATAGTACAAAATTGGAACATCTGTATTCCCTAAGTACAAACACAACTAGAATTGTTATAACCCATAGAATTTTAGCCAAAATCACCAGAGCATTTTGAGCACTTAAATGGTGCTCATCCTTTATTTGAAAGCTCCAGCCTGTTATGATAGTTTTTTTGCAATGTTTTTCCCCGCTGTTTTGCTGCAATGAAATGGTACACAGCTCCCATGTGAACCCTTGCTGTTATTCCTACTTTGCCATTTCTTTTGGATGGATTTGATGCTACACCTTGTCATTTATTACCACGGGTACCATTTTTGTCTCTTGCTATAAAAGGGAGCCGGAATTATATTGCTTATACCTGTGACCAGCATTAATATTGGAAAATATGATTACAGAGTTTATTATTTCCTTGCCTTTGTCTAAGACTTAAAAACACTAATATCAGGAAAACCTGTATGTTGTATGCATTTCCATAATAAATGTGTCGATTAGTTCAAAAGAGTTGTTTAAGATTTTAAAAAATAGCTGTACAATGTAACGCTCTTCTCCTTCCAGTTATAGTCATCCTGTCTACTATTTTTCTTAGAAATTTCTATACATTCACATTTCATGTTAAATTTTCATGCTAATTGCCTACAGAACTAGATTTACCCCAATGAACAAAATCCATGACCTTAATCTTAGAGAGTTTTAATATTTGTTACAAACCCAGCTCGAGGATCTAAAGACAGGTCCCTGGGAAACTTCAGTCTTTTGCTAACGAGTATAGTAGGGTACAAGCCATTGACTTTTGATACTTCAATTATCCTTTTTTCCATGTCAGACCAATAGAGATTTTTTCCAATCCAGTCAACAGCAAGTGCATTGGGGACAGCTGTGTTATGCACTACCTACCAAAATAAGAATTTCAGAAGTTAACAGTGGAAATGCCTGGAATAGAAACCGAGCAATTGCTTCTTGATTTTTATCAAGATATAGAAAACTATTTAAACATTAGAAATGGAATTTGGAAAAGAAGATTACAACTGACCACAATGTAATTATTTATCTTTGAAAAAAATACTTAATATATAGTCAGATCTCTAGAAGTTACATATGGGGTTAAGAAGAAAAATTGGTACAACCAAAGTAAAAAGCTATTGGACAGATACAGAGTTGATGATTATAATTGTATTAGTTTATATACTCAGCATCTTAAAATACGGGACAAAATATTAAAAAAAAGAATTATTGAGATTGTTTAGTTTTAATGGTTTAAGTTATTTCAATAGCATTCCTCGCCCTCCCTATCACTTTTGCTGCGTTTAAGTGACTATATTAAAAAAAGAAAACACAAGTAAAAGTGGGCACAAAGAATTTTGAATCTAGTCAAAGAGAAACAAAAAATATTTTCGTGCAACTGCAGTTAGCAATTCTAACCCACACCACATTAAATACATTAAAGATAAAGGCTCTCTATGAAAAAATAACATACATATGAAATGACTAATTATTCCTGATCTGAATGGTAGATCATTCCAAATTCTCATAGATTTTAGGACCATGAGAAATAAAGAATTGAATCTTGGAGATGCATAGAAATTAAAACTTTTGAAGTTAGAGATAAGAAAATGTTAATTAAATTTTATAGTCATCATTTCCCCTAATGACATCAACAACAAAGAAACAAAGTAACAATATCAACATCTGCAACAATTAATGATTAATCTACTGTGTTGATTTTAAAATATAGTTGTTTCTTTGTTCTTCCAATCTCCAGATCTAGAAAACTGACACAGTGATTTAACTGAATATCAGCAAATTAATGATCTTAAGAAATGAATCATTTCATAAACTTTTATAAGTTATAGTAACAAAGGAACAAAAATGTCAAGGACATATGTAAAAATCTAAAAGAATATACACAAAGTATAAAGGTAATGAAAAATTGAATATCTTATAAAATGTTCAAATTTGAATAACATAACTTTCACAGGTTTCATATAATTTGCCAAAATTTAAATTATAAAAGAAAAAATTCCACTTACCTGTTCCCTTTAGCCATTGAGTCACCTATCATTATCAAGAATTGATATTTCATTATATAAACCCATACCAACTACAGTTATCCTGACTCAACCGAACCCAATACACTGTTCACAATATAAACGTTTTAATATTTCATTAATATTTTAAATATAATTTGCTTCCCCCAGAACTTTATGTGTGGTATTATAAAGGGCTATCAAATGTTAAAATAAGTGAGTAGTTCTATCTTTTTAATACAAAACTTTTTCATAATACATTTTACTGCATATGCCCAATGCTAATAATTTAATTTCAAATTAAAAATAACATAGAATTAGTATCAAATATCTCATATTTAGAATGTCACATATTTTAGTTATAAATTTGCCTAATCAAAACACTCTCGATTTTACACAAATGCATTCAAATATTTTCATTTATAGATTTTTTAACAGTCTTTTAATTTCAATCTATACTCTACCACTGAATTTATTTTCAATCACTAATTCTCACTCTCATTGTTGCTTTTCATTTGAATCAACACTCCTAAATCTCAGGCACTAATCATTTATAGACATCAAGTTTTCCAGGGGTTCTAGATTTTATTTACTTAATTTGATTTTTAGTTTATTGCCAGTATGGTTATAGGAAAACAGATGGATCAAAAGTTTCATATTTCATGTTTAAAGTATTTATTAACTTACGCACTAAACAAATGGGAAACTGAAAGGAAGCTAACATAATCTACAACTGTTGTTACTAAATAACAGTGAGTGTTCTATTCAGTCATACCAATAAAATATTCAATAATTGCACAATTACAATAGTTTGTTACCTTAATGTCACTTCCATTTAAACACATTCTATTTATGCGACTTCCGTTGGGTCGACTAGAATCAATCCAATAGATGAATTCTTCTCTGTAATCAAAGTCTATAGCAATAACGTTATTTAAGCCCTACAAATGAAAAAAAGAATACAGTTTCAATAACAGTTAAGATAAATTACTTTAAAATGTTTAACAGCTCATGGAAACCATTACCTCCCTTTAAACCTAAACAGTTATACTTACTAAAATGAATTACATTTGTGACTAATGCTTTTTAAAAGCATCCTATGATTACATGTTCTCCCTACTATGCACTTTAAAAGGTAGATAATTTATTTGAAAATACTGTCCAAGGAAGACACAAAGTTTTCAAGGTATACAGTGGTTTAGAAACCAGTGATGTAAGAAAAATTTGATTTAAGGAAAAAAGGCTAAAAGTTCTTACTTTATGTTAATATTACATATACAATCGATAACATTATAGCCTGATCTATGAGAAGGCAGAAATGAACTGTGAGCTAAATTGTAAAGGGAGAAGGTCTCTGCAAAAGTAAAATTTTCCCCTGATAGCAATCTGATGACTTAGACCAAGAGGTTCAGAAATGTTGCTTTAACCAAAAGCTCTTGTCCCAACAGCATAAATAACTTTCCTCTTTTAATGCTTCAAATGGCCCCTTAGGCAATACACTGTCATATTAAATTTGAAAGTTATAACCTTAGGTGAGAATTTGACCAAACAGGAGCTGTATATTTAATACCTTTTATTTCATGTGGTGAAAATGTGAAGCAGTCACTCCCTTCTGACTCATGGTTATGCATTTTTTAAGGTTAGGTAACAAAACAGAAAAATAAATTCAGCATTTGAGTTTTTGATGCTACAGCTTCTGTTTTGGTCATTCTGCTGCTGGGTTTGATTGCAGATTCTGCTGGCTCTGGAATGCTCTGAGACAGTGAAGTGTTCAAACGATTTAGAAGGAGTAAGTTTAGATCTAACCTAATTTAGTACCTTTAATGGACTAACAAACTTAGGTCAAAATTTCAATTTTATATATTCATCTTAAGACCAAAATACTTTATTGATTTATAAACTCTTTTAGAAAGGGAAATAATTGATGTTAGAGACACTTGACAAAGCCCCGAGAGATATTTGCCACTTTATTTTTTTTTATCAGTTTAGACTTGTTCATATTAACATTTGCCCTAAAGTTGTTGAATTTCAAATTGTAAACTACTTATACTTTTATAGCAAGAATTAGCACCTACAGGGAGACAAGGTTTTTGTTCACTTTGAATTTGTTCAGGGGAAACAAGACAGGAATAATGGACATTCCCAGGTCTGCCATATTTAATAGATCTATATCGTCTTTTAGAAGACTCAGGCTCACAGATTACTGGTCAGACTTTATTTCAACAACCTACAAGAGCAAAAGTGCCTGTTTGCAGAAGTAAGTCAGAGACTGTCCTGATAAATTGTACTTTATTTTTCTTTCACCACGGCTACACTCTAGTATTAACGGTGTTAATATCCCAAGTTCAAATCTTATGCTTCCAGGTGGCTAGCTATGCACAATATCCTTGTTTTCTCCTCCAGATTATGATACCCAAACCTCAGGAAACTGCATGTAATTTGTCATAAAAAAGAAATTCCAGCAGTAAGCAGGCTGCAAATTTCTCACTTTACTCAGATGAAAAGATGCAAGAACATTTCTTACTGTTAGCATTATTAAGAATAATGGTTATAAATGCTAAAAAAGCAACTAATTTTTAGTCACAGATTCATTAAATCTTGCTTTGCATGCTAAAAACTGGAGCATCAATTCACTAAATGTACTTAACTGTACATACATAGGAAGCTGACTATGAAAAATCAATCAAAGTTCTAAAACATAAATTGAATATATTCCAGACAAATTCAGCAGAGGGCTTAAGAAATTCACTTCAATAATAGTCTGCAATAGTCTTTTTTTAGTCAAACAGCTTTCTCTCCAGAGGGATAATTTAAATGGATTAAGGTTCTGTGAAGGCTTACCAAATCAGGTCACTAAATTAAAGAGTTTTACAGGGGAAGAGTAGAGAAAAAATTGACTCTAACTTTAGCAAATATTTACCCATAATATCCAGCCATGGAAAAATATCTTACTCCTTTCTTAATAATAATCAGTTTAGATAATGAAAATGTAACTCCAAATTTAGCCAGTCAGGTATAATAAATTAAACCTATACATGCAGAGGAATTGAGGTTGTGAATTCCAAATTATCAATCTAGGCAAGTTGGTTGTTTTCCTATATATTTATTCTTACTCCCCATAGAAAATAGAGCAATGCCGTCTTTGTAGAATCTTATGCAAGCAGCATTAAAACAGCCAGAGATATGGTCAGAAAATGTCTGAAAATCAGAGTCATCCCAGGGGTTTCAGAGCTGAAAATTGGTTTCATCAAAATCCTATTTACTTCTTTCATTTCTATACCTGAAGATGTGCACCTTTGGTTCAGGATGATTAATTTAGGAAACTGTATTTTGTTTCTGTATGAAATTTTACTGAAATAAAAAACTATTAGAAATGAATTGGATAACCTATTAGAAAGTTACTTGATTAACTTTTATTCTATATCACTAAAGTACATTTTCTAATATGTATATGAAATGAAGCTATAAGTGGGCTAGCACAGCAGCTACATTCTAGAATATATACAGAAAAATTTCTATCAGAAGCCTATAGGCATTAAAACTTCATGAGATTATTAATGACTTAAACAAAGAGTAAAATTCAAGATATTAAGATAAATCATTCTTCCAAATCAGCTACACACAAAACTTCCAAAAAACTAACACAAAGATATTTCTTTTAACTTATTTGAGTTGAAAGCATAGGTAGAATATGATTATTTCTGTGTTCTACTTCATTCTTCATTCTTTAGAGTTGTAGACAATCTCTAAATGAAAACAAAATGCTATTGCCAGAACTCTTGAAAAATTTTAAATACTATGTCATGCTAAAATGGTGGCTAAAATATGTCCCCTTATACAAACCATATACTCCAAGCAACCCACAGACAAAATTTATGTAAGATTTACCAAAGGTTTGCTTTTTTGTTTATTTGGGGATAGTGACATTATTTGTTTATCCTATATCATCATAAAAAAAAAATGCCTTTCTTTTAGCGGGGGGAGTTCCAGTACCAGGAATTGAACTCATGACCTTGCACTTGCCAGGCAGGCGCTGTGCCGCTGAGCTAAATCCCCAGCCTTCCAATATCATCATTAAGAATCATTTTTCAAAGATTTTCAGGACCATTCTGAAATTCCTCATCTTCCTTGTTCCATTTCATTTGCATAAGTTCTCTGCTAATAAAAGTATGGAACCTTATCCTCACACAGGTACTAACGATTGGCAGCAGTGTAAAATGACATCACTATGAGAAAAGAGCTGTAGTACGGTGTGCAGCAAAGTGGTTCCATTATGTGGAATAGACTTAAATGATGCAGGCAGGATAGTATCATTTTGGTGCATTAAGAACAAATCTTGACAAAGTATTACCCATGAAAAACAACAAAACTGATGCCAGTAGAAATGCTCTGAGTTGCATAGTTATAGGAATAAAGCAAGCAGCTACAACTGAGGCTCTGTTACAGTTCTTTCATAAATGAAATAAATATTGTGCCTATATTAGCTAAATGTGATTCAACTAAGCTCAAAAATAGAATATTCTAAAGAGGCAACTTCCTCCTTTTAAACTGAGATAGCGCACTATGAAAATTAAAATGTTAGAAATACCAAGTAGAAAACAAATAGATCTCTGCTTTAAAAGAGTATACTAAGAACTTAATGGCTGCTGTCTCTGACTCTGAAGTTATGAAGAGGGTTATGAAGGGGTAAGAAAACAGACACCAGAAAAAATAATTTTCAATATTTTAAAAATATTGAGCAAATAGCATAAAAAAGGAATTAAGTTAAACAATGTAGGAAACAATGTGGGCAGCAAGGAAATGTTTTCCACTTGAAGCAGTTATACATCAACCTTCTCTAAAATATGATTTCTGTGTTATTGTCTGTTAAAGACCAAAACGCCTAAAGACCGGCAAATGCTTCTATTTCACATATATTCCTGGTTAGATCTGTATACATGTAAAGACATTTTCTATGTTATACATTATTCCGGGATTCAGAATTCTAGAGAGAAGTAATTTGAAACTGTGGATACTGGTGACACACTGCAAGAAGGACTTTAAAACTCCTAGGTGCTCTGGAACCCAGCAAGAGTGCATGCCAAGAGCACAGGGACATCTGAGCACTCTGGACTGCTGGAGAATACAGATTCTGAGTCAAAGTGGCAGCTGCTACACAGCTTGGATCGTGGCCATTCCCACCTGTGAGCCTACCTTCTGCACTTATATGTTTTCATTAGTAGCCAGATAACCTGAATTTTCCTGTACAGTTTTCATTTTCAAACTGTGATTTACTTAAAAGCTAGAAAATTCACCTTTGTCATAATTAGTCAATATCACACTGCCTAGTGGATATGTGGACTTGAAATAGGATTAAATTATAAGATAAAATGAGCAAAATTCCCTCAATTGCAGTAGAAGAATCTATGTTAGAAGGAAAAATATATTCAGCTAGACACCACTGGTCCTCTATATCCATAAGTTGCCCATTGATAGATTTCGTTAACCACCATCAAAAGCACTGAGAGAAAAGCTGCTTCCATACTGAACATGTACAGACTTTTTTCCTCTCATTATTTCCTAGTCAACTCAGAACAGCTACTATTTACAGAGCATTTACACTATAATTGTATTTTAAGTGAACTAAAATGATTAAAACTATATGGAAGGATATGTGTAGGCTACATGGAGATACTGTACTATTTTATAGAAGGGACGTGAGCATGAGTGGGTTTTAGGATTTACAGGAAATATGGGGACCAGTCCTGCTATCAGATTGCTACAGTGATTTTAAGTCTTATTTTGATTTTCCCAAAAGTCACCGTAGGAAAGCTACTATTCATTGATATGTATCATTGTTATAAGCACATCATAAGACAGTAAGTATCCTTAATTTTGATACCTTATGCAGTTGTGGCAAAGATAAATTTGTAGCAAAATTCATACAAACTATTTCTAGGAAAATATATTTTTCTTGAAGATTAAATTAAAAAGAGCAATTATTAACTGCATGTGGTTTGTCTGTTCCATGTAATAGTTACTCTAGTTCTAGTTATTTGAATTTATGCTATTTCAATGCACATATGGGGGGAAGGTTGAAATAAACAAGCATAGTTCTATATCATTATGAGCTGAAAATCATAACTTTTAATAAAGTAATGTACACAATTGACTCAGGTAAAAGGAGTCAAACACAAAACAAATCATTTCAGGTTCTTTTGAGGTAGCCGGTGTTGAAGTCACAGCGGGTGAGACTGGCAACCTATCAGCCTGTAGCCTTGCAATCCTGATACAATGAATAGGTTTCCTCCCCCGAGTCTGGGGAACTGAACCTTCATTTTTTGTGCTTTATAGTACTCTACCCCTGATCTTTACCTCCTGCCCTTCTGTTTTCTTTATAATTCCAAATTTCAAAGTCAAGTTATCATCTATTCTATTACCAGGTTTTATGAGCAGTAACTTGAAGTTCTGGAAAAGGTTACTTTTAAATCTCAAGGGGAGAAAAAAACCAACCTGAGTAATCCACAAAATGGCTTGAAAGAGAATTTTATATTTCCCTAATGTAGTTTGAGCTAATTTTCTCTCCCATTAATTATATTTTACCATTTTTACCTTCTTTGATATGGTATAATATATCTGGTTAGGAGCATTACCTGCTCATTTTTAAAAGAATGTTTATGGTAATCTAATACAATGCATGCATATATGTACATCCAAAAATATGCACTTCATAAATTGAAATTGTTAAGTACTTTATTTTTACAGCTCTAATGCATACCTGGGGGGCACCATATTAAATCCTATAGAATTCTGAGAATACCGTACCTGCTTTAAAAGTGTGTAGTTGGAGCCATCAGTGCTAATTTTTCTTATCTCATGATGATCAGCAAGAATGAGGAAAGGTTCTTCATCTAAAACCAAAGTAAAAACAGATTTGTTATCTGCTAATCTGCTCAGTTTTAGTTTAGTGTAGCAGCAATATAAATTCCAAAGCAGCGCTGCTGTGCTGGATCAGTGGATAAATTATGTCATACTCAGCCATCTAGTCTGCGGTAAAATGAACAGGCACTAGGTACCCTGAAGTACAGAGTATCCAGGTAATTCTAAGTGTATCCCGTTTTTACCTTAGATTTTCTTGTACACTCAAAAAAATTATTTGGAATCAGTAGAAAATAGCTGGTGTTACATTCTGGGAATTAAAAAATATAGCTCAAGAAAAGATCATTTTATTTACCTTAAATATCTACAGAGTGGCTAAACATTCAGAAAGCTCTTCCTGATAACCCCATCCCTCAGAATGACTTATGTGGATTCCTAGAGTATCATTGTACACATTTACTTTGCATGTGCCTCGAGGATTCTCTTAAGAAATTTCTAAGTCCAATTTCTAATCTTTATTAATTACTTCCACCTCTCCTCGTGAGGATTATGTTTAATCTTTTATTACTCTTTAGTTCCATCTTACAAGCTTATCTGATGTGTTTTATTATCTTCTTCAGCTTAGAATATATAAAAGATCATGATAAAGGTCTTGTCATGCTGAATATATAGGACCATCTTCTGACTCTTTAGCTTGTTTTCTTCAGAATTTGCTTGGCAATAAAATGAATTATTAGAGAAACCTCAAAAAGTACTGTAATATACATTTAATTGATTATACATTTTAAAAATGTCAAATTGACCACATCAATTGTTATAATACTATATCAGTTCAGGAAAAAAATTATGTTTAACATCTTTGCTTCTAAAAAATATGCATATACTTATTTGCCAAGAAAGAAAATTTAAGTTTCATAGGAAGAAGTAGGGGAAAAACGCTTAAAAAGTATTCACTTTGTGTAACTGAACATGCCTCATTCATTGTCATAATTACTGTCCTGGTTAATTTATATTTGAAAATATTCTGATTCTCTCTTTGTCTTTCAGGTTCGTATGTAATGTGTTATGAAAAAGCTATAATATTGTGTCTCAGTACATGCTGTGCAACTCATTTGGATCCTCCCTTCCAGTGTTCACGACAGCACCTTCCACCATTCACTCCATTCATCAGGATGAGGTCAAATTCGGACCCTTAATCCTTTTCAGTGGAGAGCTGGCTCACTGATTCTACTGATTTAGCTATTCCTGTTAGCATACTTTCAGTTTTACAAATATAAAAGTAACCAGCCTATCTTTTATATTAACACTGAGGCAATTATGTTCTTTAAAACTTAAATATATTTGATATAAAAAATTCTGCCCTATCTTTCACACAAGATTTATACTTCAAGAACATCCGACATTATTATTCATTTCTAAATATGATTGTAATATGAAACAACTAAGGGATTAGTTCATAATATTAGAACAACTAGCCGGGCGTGGTGGCACACGCCTGTAATCCCAGCACTCATGAGGCTGAGCCAGGAGGATCATTGCAAGTTTGAGGCCAGCCAGGGTTACAAAGTGAGCTCAATGCTATATTACCATTAGCATTCATCTCTTCTACACAATCCTTTATGAAAATTTTATATGAATGCAAACTTTTTTTAGACTATCTCTTTGTCTAGTTTCATGTTACTAACTGCCGGATATAGCAAGCACTGAAAAAGCAAGTAGGTGGTAAAAACAAAAAAACAGGTTCTAAGTGATCCTCAAGTTGATTCAGGAAAGAACAGTTCAAGATCACATGACCAAGGATGAAAAACTGAATGACATAATTTGTTCTTGATATCGTACAGTTTTAACAAATAAAATTCATTTTAAAATTTCTTCATCAGTATCTAAAGAAAGTAGATGATAAAACCACCTAACGTGTCTGCAATATCTGTCTGCAGGGGCT